GAGTTAAATATCTGGGTGGGGGGTGGAGGTTTGCAAAGCCAAAATACACATGAGTGTGTGGAGTCGTTACTGCAACCCACAGCTATTACCCAACATTACTGATTACAGTGCAGAGAGATCCCCAAGGCCGATGGGGATCGTGGTTATGCAGAACAGATGGGCCTTTATTAGCAGCGAGTGTCTGAGGGAGATTTGCAGGAGATTCGGTGTTTACAGCCTCTTCACTTGATGATAATGAGCCTCAAGACAAAATGTCAGCTAGTGAGAATGGGCAGAGACAGGAAGTGAAGGAAATGAAACCAATCAGTGCTGATGGAGAATATGTGAAAGACTTGAAAACAGTCTACTAAGGAAATGCAAAAAACAAGCGGCGGATGAGAAGAGGGGGTGGGGATGGCAACGAGCTTATGACTGAGATTGAGAGCAAGAGAGGAGGAGGAGGGGAGATCGACATTCTCTCCTCCCCAGAGCCGCAGGCCTGGTCTCCAGCCACTGTCCCAGATGGCTTGACTGAGAGAGGGAAAGAGAGATGTTCCTGCCACTCATAAGCTCTACAATTACTGAGAACGTAATGGTCTTAAAGTACCAGCATCAAGCAGGCCCAAAAAGCCAACATCCATTTACAGAAGCCGATCACATTCATGAATCTTTTAAACTGACAGCCACTTCAAGTTGCCACAAGGAGAGCACTGTATAATAAACACATTAAGCGGCAAACGGCGGATCTGGAGCAGCTCATGGGCACAGGACGCTCGCGGCTGGAAACGAAGAGAGACAAATGGATTTCTCTTATCTGTCCATCAGAAGTACACTGTTTGATCAAGCATTGAGCCTGTACATTTCGAAATGCAGGGTTAAGTATATTCCCATAACCGAAAGTGTAACGGAGAGGGGGTTAAATGTATGATGTGTATTGATGGGTTTTGGGTTACAAGAGGCACAGATGCAGTGAGAAAATCAATAAACTTCTCCAGTGTATGCTCAGTGGGAGGGTCCACATTCTGCAGCTGACAAACAGAGCTCGGAAGATTAGAGAACGTCGACAAGCAGAAACACCACCTCGGTGTTTTGTTAAAGTATTCTTAACTTATGTCCCCAAAAGAAGCTATCTCACATTGATGTTGTAATACAACAATTTAGTTCTCAACTCTGGTCCTCGAGATCAACTTTCCTGCAGAGTTTAAAGGCCTGTTCACACCGGGACGAATTTCGCGTGCGATATTCGCCGACGTTTAACGCCTCGTGACTAAACAAAGGGCGCCAATGTGAGTGTGCACACCGACGCGAAAAAAAAGCGTCATTTTTTAAAAAACGCCTCGGGTTCATTTTTTTGGTTTGACGCGCCGCGTCAAAAACTATCCGACCAATGAGATTGGCACTTTTGCTCACGTGTCTGGAGCTTCTGAAGTTACAGTAAAACACAACTTGGGGGCGCTCAAACACAAAACGGTCTTGCCGAGCACACATACGTAACGGCGAAGAAGATGCGCCAAGTAGCGTCTACTACACCATAGACATCCATAATAAAGGCTAGATGTCTCGTCCGCGCTGCTGGCCAATGGCCTTTATTATGGATATCTATGGTCTACACTGCCGGGAAGAAATAAGACGAGGAAGATGCAAGGCATGATGAATGTATAGAGCTGCTGGTCTCGTTGGTGTCGGAACATAAAGAACTATATGACAAACGCGACAGCGACTACAAAATAGGACTATTTCTGTTTTACATTAAGCGCCATCTAATGTCAGGGAATGAATTTGCATGTTCACTTGGCTCAACGTCAGTGAAAATCGCTTGGGTGTGAACACAAAAAACGCGTTGAAAAACGCTGACGAATAACGCTGACGAATAACGCGCGCCGATATTCGTCCCGGTGTGTACGAGCCTTAACCCAAACACTGAGCAACTCACCTGTCTGTAACTTTCTAGTAATCATGAAGACATTGATTAGCTTGTTCAGGTGTGTTTGATTAGGGTTGGAGCTAAACTCTGCAGCAAAGTGGACCTCGTGGGCCAGAATTAGAGGTTTCTGTAAATGCAAAGGTCTATCACTAGACCAAAGCAGTTCAGAAAAGCTTTGTGAATCTTTACGTTTAGATAATAGACATTTAGCTAATATACAGGGCTGCAGGAATACAGCAGTTTTGTAGGTCAAACCCAGAAGTTAGCATCATCCTGGTTTATTTGACAAAAAGCCAATATAATTTTCCCACTGGCTTTTAGATTGCAGAAAATAATCTCTTTGACAAACAAAAGTTTATGATTCTTACACATTTTGTTTATCTTTACAAACGAACATAACTTTTATGAATTGCGAAGTATAAATAAAATTGCCAGAAATAAAAAGCTAAACATAGGCTATAAAAGAACTACACAACGGTCACGTCTTCAGAGTGCACCATTAAGCTACCAACAGCTCTTTTAATCTCTACAAGTTGGAAAGTAGAAATTTACGCAAGCTCAACACCTTTCTGCATTTCAAAATGTGTCAGAATACACAGTACATTAGCTTTAGCATTAACAGTTTTCTACAACTGGTGCAGCAACAGTTTAAAGAGAATCTTGCAGAGCAAGTTAGATTTTATAAACATGATTACAGCTTTTTACCTGAATAATAATGCATCCATTTTAATGGCATAGACATTTTACGCTAATTCTATCACCTCATTCAGTAAAAGAGGTTTATTCTCATCACATTAACACAAAAATGCACATCAAGTATGTACTATGGGCTACATTCCTACCATCCACAGTTATACATTCAACTGTATCAATTTGTCCGAGATAGACCGCTCAAATATGTATTTTTGGGATGCAAGGACATTGCCTTAACAACATTCAAGCAGTTTAGGTTAGCTGTATGCACAGTTAGCTGTTCATGGTCCATTTATAAGCGAGATTAATGATGAATACAAGATACGCTCCTTGAAGGGCTATAGATAAGTGGATCCCGTGGTTGACGTGCATTAATATATCTAGAGTGTCTTTACAGCATATGGATAGTGCTGCTGAGGAGTTGACACCGCATGCATCAGCAACACTCAGCATAACTTGACACATGAGCTGGAATTCACATACAGATTACTACATAATCATCTGAATACAATGATTGTGCATATTACATATCGTGAGCCAAAATCAAGGGAATTTTAATCAAATATAGAAATGCCATAAAGTGTACATTTTTATTTCACTTTTTGGTGCTGTAGTGCATTACTTGTATCGCAAATTGTGCTCAGAGCACTTCTTGAGAAGTGTGTGCAATATAGACAGTTCTGGAGTTCCCTAAAAAGAAACAGTACAGTCTGCTGTGGTTTCTCATAAACAGTTTCAAGTAATGGCCAAATATTTATGGCTGCTAAATGTTCCCACGCGAAGTTAATGACACAGAAATAGTGTATGTGAATCGAAATAAATTGGATGACAATTAACCGTCAGCTGAAATTTCATGCCCTACTCGCTTGCATCAAAATGAGGCACTTTGACTTTGGTTTTTCGAAAGTGTACGCTATGGTCAGTTCATGGAGGAGGGGAGGAGAAAGAGCTGTGTGCAAACAGCTTATCCTCACTGTCATCTGCTCCTAATGACAGCTGACAAACTACTAATGCAAATCCCATCTGAGCGGCTACAGTTGCCCCACCCCCAGCCTTCCCTTGCCATCCCCGTACAGGAAAATCCATCCTCCAACAACCCCTCCCATCCCGCTACATACACAGTGAATGATCCACACTCAAAAATTCCTCCTCTGTGATGGTCTGCTCAAAGTGAGCGCTCTCTTTTAAACCAAGACAATACCCTGCTCTTCAGTCACAGAGAGCAATGGTTCAAGCAGAGCAGGTGGCGACTGTGGCGTCCACATGCAGCCAAACACATGCTCACTTGCGGCTGTTATTCTGAGTGCCATTTACTTGTTGTAGAATCAAACTACTGATTGATTCTATGAATGTTTGCTAATAATATAAAAAGTAAATAGGGTTAAATCAGAATAATTAGGATTTTTTTTGTTGAAAAAAAGTCTCAATTTACCCCAATTCACCTTACGTAAATAAATACTGTTATTAATTTTACAAAATTATTTTAAAATATTTTGTACAAAATATTTGAATATATATGTACATATTTATATTTTATACATTTTTAATAATATACATATGATATATATATATAGCATATAATGTATTTGTAATTTATTTTTAATAAACTAGCCTATACATATGATCTTTGTGTAAAGTATGCATGTATGTATCCAAGTATCAATGCATGTATGAATGTATGCGTGTATCTATCCATCTATGAAATTTATATATATATATATATATATGCTTTTCTGATTTTTATTTAAATGTTTTTATATTTATTTAATTTATTTATACTTTTTAATATCTCAATTACAAATTACATACACATATAAAACAAACAAAAATAAATTAAAAACTGATCATAATTTGTAAGTGTATCATGATTAATCATTGTAGAGAGTAAAACATGTGCTAACCCCAAGTGACTTCTTTCAAAAGAGGTTACAATTTAATTTATTGGGTTTGTTTCACTGGTTAACAGGTTAAAGTTTTTTAATGAAAGTGATTATAAAGTGTTACTAACACAGACATCAACTTTTTAATTTTGGGGTCCCTGTGTTGACTGGGAATTGTTGTCTCTAAAAGTTGGAAAAAAAACCCTGTTTTAGAGGTGTAAAAGACCAAAGGAAAAAATGGAAGTGATCTCAAGGATGCAAACAAGAGAGAAAACAAGGTTCCTTTTTTTGCTGCTCAAACCAAATACAGAGAGGAAATGACATCACACCTCCCACACAAACCACACAAACTCACACTTTCATTTGTTTCGCAGTATATCATAGACGTGTTTTCTTCATCTCCTCACCATGTAGTTTCGTAAACACACATTAGACCTTCAATGTCATGAGTGTATTAACCAACAATTGGATAGGGGAAAGTGTGAGAGAAAGTCAGTGTGTTCATCACAGGTTGCTAAGCTTACCTTGGCTTCAGTCCAGACTAAGCCTCAGGGCATTTCTGCAGCAGTGGGACCAGTGGAAATCTTTGGGCATTATTCTCTTCTCTCAATCTGTGGAAGAAAGCAGAACCATCCAGTTAATCTCAAACCCCACCAACTGATCTCAAAGCAGACTTTGGGAAACAGAAATACAAACAATACACATCAAAACCTCATTTATATTGATTGATTTAGTGTAAATTAGTGCAATTAGTTTAGTTTGTTTCAAAGAAAGGATGATAGGCTGATACAGCAATTTATGCTATTTGGCAAAAAAGGAAAACTACAAATACAGGTTTTATTTTACTATGCAAAACAAAACAAAAAAGGCATAGAAAAACAAAAAAGGCCACAAGAAAAAGCATTGATTACATAATCAGTTATTAATATTTAGTTGGTTCTCTCATTTTTTGTATGCGTTTATACTTTCTTTGTAGCCTGGACAAAAAATATGTCCAACAATTTGTATGTTTTACTGCGTTATCACACATAAAACAATTGACTTCAAACACAACTACGTAATATAATTAACACATTTTTTTATAATATTTGAATAAAGGGTGAAAAATGAAGATGTCAATTTTCCTAGGCTGGACATCACTTCTGGCCACTACTGTATACAGTATCTCACGAAAGTGAGTACACCCCTCACATTTCAGCAAACATTTTAGTATATCTTCTCAAGGGAAAAAACTATAGAAATGAACCTTGGATATATTTTAGAGTAGTCAATGTGCTGCTTGTATAGCAGTACATTACTGTCCTCTGGATGTTGAACATGGCAGCTCATGGCAAAGAACTCTCTAAGGATTTGAGAATTAGAATTGTTGCTCTCCACAAAGTTGACCCAGGCTATAAGAAGATTGGTAACACCCTGAAATTGAGTTACAGTACAGGCCAGGGTCATAAAAAGGTTTTCCAAGACCGGTTCAACTTGGAACAGGCCTCGCAAGGGTCAATCAAAGAAGTTGAGTCCTCGTGCTGTGCGTCAGGTGCAGAAGCTGGCTTCAAAAAACAGACACATGAGTGCTGGCAGCATTGCTTTAGAGGTTGCAGAAGCGGAAGGTCAGCTTGTCAGAGCTCAGATCATACGCCGCACACTGCAACAAGTCGGTTTGCATGGCCGTCTTCCCAGAAGGAAGCCTCTTCTGAAGCTGGCTCACAAGAAAGCCCGCAAACAGTTTGCTGAAAACAACCTGTCCAAGAGCATGCATTACTGGAACCATGTCCTGTGGTCTTATGAGACTAAGATGAACTTGTTTGGCTCAGATGGTGTCCAGCATGTGTGGTGACGCCCTGGTAAAGAGTACCAAGAAAATTGTGTCTTGCCTACAGTCAAGTATGGTGGTGGTAGCATCATGGTTTGAGGCTGCATGAGTGCTGCTGGTACTGGTACTGAACTTCATTGTGGGAAACATGGATTCCAACATGTACGGTGACATTCTGAAGCAGAACATGATGCCATCCCTTCAGAAACTGGACCGAACGGCATGGTAACGACCCCAAACACACCGTTAAGATGACAACTGCCTTGTTGAGGAAGCTGAAGCTGAAGGAGTGGCCAAGTATGTCTCCAGACCTGAACCCTATTGAACACCTATGGGGCGTCCTCAAGCGGAAGGTGGAGAGGCGCCATATGTCTAACAGCCAGCAGCTCCGTGATGTCATTATGGAGGAGTGGAAGAGGATCCCAGCAACAACCTGTGTAGCTCTGGTGAACTCCATGCCCAGGAGGATTAAGGCAGTGCTAGATAACACTGGTGCTCACACAAAATATTGACACTTTGGACACAGTTTTGACATGTTCACTTAGGGTGTACTCACTTTTGTTGCCAGCTATTTTGACAATAATGGCTGTATGTTGAGTTATTTTCAGAGGACAGTAAATATGATTTCCATTACACAAGAGTAGATGTTAAAACTGCATGCTGATTTGCACTCGGCTTTCGCCAAGACAAGCACCAACTAAGACGTAGCTTTACAGTAAACTATGCGTCTCCATCCATTTACGCTTCCTTCATTATGGTGATGTGAATATCCTTCTGTCTGGTGTTAATGGCGTAAGTATATTTCCTGGCGCGTCAGTACACACAACGACTGCGATGCTGGCTCCAGGGATCAACCACAGTGCGGTCTCCCCAGCGGATCAGCATGACAACTGTCTGGATTGAGCGGAGTAGGGGACATCTCTGGGGTCTTCAAGTGGGCACCTTCCGTCCTCAGTGTTTCGTCGACTAGCCCACGACACCTCAAGAGGGCTCGACAGTGATTCTGGCGTCCCAGAGTCACCCCCCTCCATCCCCCACTCAACTCTGCCCAGCTTACTTGCCTGTACATCAGCGTTTCTTTCTTTCTATTGTGCTTGAGATCCCTCCTGCTCCTGAGGTTGCTCCTTCCTCGTAGTTCAGTGGCATAAACCCTTGATGTGACCACCTAACCACAATCTCTAATGCCACAATCTCACCGCAACCCGACCATATGCGCCAACCCGTTTGACTAAGGCTGTCGAAGCCCCACTGTCGTCGTTAAAGCAGGTTCAGTGGCAACGGTTTCGTATGGCATACTTCCTAACAACCCGACCATACGCAGGCCAACCCGTTTGACCAAGGCTGTCGAAGCCCCACTGTTGTTGTTAAAGCAGGTTCAGTTGCAACGATTCCGTATGGCATACTACCTAACAACCCGACCATATACGCCAACACGTTTGACTAAGGCTGTCGAAGCCCCACTGTCGTCGCTAATGCAGGTTCAGTTGCAACGGTTCCATATACTGCTACAAGCAGCACATTGACTACTCTAAAATCTATCCAAGATTCATTTCTATAGTATTGTCCCTTGAGAAGATATACTAAAATGTTTGCTGAAATGTGAGGGGTGTACTCACTTTTGTGAGATACAGTACATTCTTATCTTTTGAGCAAATAACCTTCATGTTTTGAGGCCACATCTTCAATTGACCTCGGTAGAAGTAAACATTAGGGTTTGTATGACATCAGATTATGTGTACTGTCACTTTAACTGGACAATGGGCATTAAAATGCACAACTGTGCACCGACACTTTATTGGCTTTTGCTCTGGTCAAATTGCACTACTTACTGTCCATTGCACTTTTTTCTGTCTACTGGCGATTTGCACTATTTTACTGTTTACTGCGTATTGTTTACTGTTTGCTAGGTATTGTATTGTGTGTATCATGTGAATGGTTGAGGGCAGGGTTGCACTGTCTATTGTAGGATGTTGTGATCTGTTGTTGTTTATTCTTGCATTGGTTATGCACCTCGGTCCATATGAAACGACATTTCGTTCAGCTGTATACATGTATACAGAAGAATGCCAAGAAAGTTTGACTTGACTTGACTTGACATCACTTCCCTGTCCGTCTTGTAAGAGCAGAGCCCTGTTAGCAGTGAGCATGACACTTGAGCTGTCCTCTATCAGAGAGCTATCAGCAAACCAAAGAGACAGCTGAGTTTTACCAGACCTGTCAGGAAGAGTGTGACTATTCTTAAAAAGCAACAACAAAAAAACCCCACCTTGCCGGCACCGTCTCCAAGAGGACCAACCACGCTGGGGTGTTACTGAGAAGACACACAGAGGTCAACAACCGAGTGACGTCCTTGAGACCCATATGGACAAGTCCCTTCTTATAAATTGTACAAAGAAATAGGAACATATAATGGAGATCAACTAAAATACCAAGAAAATAGTTCACCTCTAAAATAAGATACTCCTCACAAGTGGTTGATAGTGGTTCGCCATATGTGCATCTTTCAAATTAACATTCTTTAGAAGAATTAATGTTTTTATGACAGGCTGGGAATTGCTGAAGAGAGATGCTTCTGCTATAGTTAGTAAAACACAATGAGACCATACGGAGCAGTCATGTTTTTCAGCCAATTAGCTTAAGTGAACTACCATACCAGAACAATCCATCTCTGCAAACTTGGTGAATAAGAGTTGGATAGAGGTTTTATTCGGTCATCGTCCTGATCTTATCGATAATAACAAGGGGAAAGATCTAATTGATCCCACAGTATTCTTGAGCAGGTATGTCCATTAAAAAGTTCATGAAAGTTGAACATCAAGTGGAGACATTAGGAACAGTTGAATCAGCACACGTCAAGCGAGCTCATGAGACGAAATGAGGGGAAAATATACCATTAGATATTCTAGGAAAGAGAAAGTTTTGCAAAGAAAATAGTAAAAAAATAAAATAAATAAAGTAAAGTTTGTAGTCAGAATGATATTTTTTAAAGTTCTCACACCAATAAGAAAGTCTATTATGCTAAGCAAGGCTGCATTTATTTGAACACAAATAGAGTAAAAACTGTAGTAATACTGTGAAATATAATTACTACTTAAAATAACTGTTTTCTATTTTTAATATATTTTTTACTTTGCCAAAAAATTAGCTTTGGCATCAATGTCACATGATCCTTCAGATGTCATGCTAAAAGGGAGATTTGGTGCTACAGAAACATTTCTTATCATCCATATTGAAAAAAATATTGTGTTGCTCAATATTGGTAGTCAAAGTGACAATTTTGCTCAATATTGTTGTGGAAACTGTGATATATACATTTTAGGATTCCTTGATGACTAGAAAGGGCAAAAGAACAGCATTTATTAGACAAATAAATATTTTGTAACATTATAAACATCCTTTACTGACACTTTTAAACAATTTACTGCATCCTTGACGAGGTATTTTTTTAATTTTTTAAATGTACTGACCCCAAACTTTTGAGCGATACTGAACATTTTTTCTAGCTTTTCTCAATCCCAAACAAATGCCAGCATACTATTATGGTGCACATTATTCAAACTGAAGTCTGCTAGAAAATGTGTCTGGGGTTTAGTTCATACAAAGCTCTGTTTTGATCACAATTATCATAAAATATTACAGGTTGTACTGCTGAACTCAGTTTCAGGTCAAGCAATCAAATCACTTACACTTTAGAAATGATACAGAATGATCTGACGGACTCAGACAGACAAAAATTAGCATTCACAAATACTCCAGTTCAAACACAACAAGCATTTCTGTGAAAAACATACGCATATCTAGCAT